CTCTACCCTTCCCCTCCTCTCTGCCCTCTATCTCCCTCTGATTGAGGGGGGACTGTAAGATGTGTAAAGTTCACCCTTCAGTCCCTCAACACCGTCCAGCTGGGTGAGGAGCTGGTTCACCACGCGGTCCGTCACCCCCGTGCTGTCGTGGCCCCTCCTGGGAGCCAAAGAGTCGAACTCATCAAAGAACAGGATGCACGGCTGCGCTGCCTGTGCCCTGAAACAGAAGTCAGACAGGAAGTGACTGCATAAACATTGACTTCAATAAGAACGCTTGTTGTTGGTGTTTTTCTCATAGTTAACACTGACCTCTGGAAAACATCACGGACTCCTTGCTCGCTGGCTCCAATGTACTTGCTGAGGAGTTCCGGTCCCTGAGGGGAGGTCAATAATCAGTACCAGTGAAGACACACACGACTGCATACAACTGTCTTTGTAGTATTTCTAAGACACACTCCCAACTACCTTGATACTGATGAAGTTCATGCCACTGTCCTTGGACACAGCTCTGGCCAGCAGTGTCTTCCCTGTACCAGGAGCGCCGTACAGTAATATTCCTGAGCGGTGGCGGATGGGAAGTTTGGAGAACAGGATTGGATACTGCAACACATGAAAGCACAAATCACATATCTAGAATTACACTGTATTACTGACAGAAGCATGTATTTTTAATTTGGTGGCTGAGGTGAATGTCTGCATCATGTAAGAGTCAGTGATTCAACCATCAATAAAATATTCTACATGTTGTCATTAAACACAATCATTTTGAATTAAATCACATGTAAACCAAACAGAACTCTGGGTGTTTTGCTAATTCAATTCAATTAAACATTTGATGGTGATGGTGTTGAAAAAACTTACCTTGGCAGGAAGCAGCACGGTGTCCATTAGTTGCTGTCGTACGTCTCTCAGACCTCCCACCCTCTCCATCCCGTGTCCACTGGGGGTGTGAAGGTCCACGCCCCAGAGTGAGGGAGGAGTGAATCCGTTGAGAGCCTTTTCAAAGTCTGTCCATGTTAGAGACACACCTGAGAAACAGGGAGCAAAGATGACTGATGTGGAAGTGAAAACTCAGCCAGATCATAATTCTGTAAATAAAGCAGTCAAAACAACCACAAAACACTGAAACAAATCCGTGACTTGTTTTTTTTTTTTACCTTGGTCAGTGTGGCCTCTCTGCTGTGTGTTAGCATGAACAGCTCGCTTCAGCAGCAGAACTAGATCCTGAGGTGTGTAACCCACGGTCTCTTTGGCGACAGTCTCCAGATCCAGAATCTCCAGCGTCTCCTCGGACAGAGCCGACCTACTGAGAGTCAGACGCTGCAGGATCTCTGCTCGCTGTACCTGTGAACACCAGTGTTCAGCCTGTTAGCCCTGACCTCTGCTGCTCTCATTCCTCTGTGTCTGAGTGATGTTGATGCACTGACCTGATCTGGTGGCTGGATTCTGACATATCCCTGGATGAAGTGGGAACCCTGGACTTCAGTGAGTGACGGGTGCAGAGAGTGCTCACTGTGGCTGGTGATGATCAAACACACCAGGCTGGAGTGAGCTGCGACTTCATCCACCACATCCTTCAGACCTGCAGTGACAGAGTGACCGAGGTGAAAATGTCAGAAAAGACAGAAATCGTCATCAAACTGGGGAAGAACAGGGAAAGTTTGAAGGTAAGGTTTTTACTTTGAGCCACGTGCTGCTGTAGCAGAGCTTCAGGGCCGTGCTCGTGTTCAGGAGACGTCGGTGCCCCTGCCAAGTGATCCAGGTCGTCGAGAAGAACAACTGAAGGCTGCCTCCATTCTGCCCGTTCAAAAACATCCTGCAGCCTCTGCCTCACACTCTCAGCTCTTTTTCCTAAAAAACAACAATTGTTTTAGTTTTTTTTTAGACATGTATGGATGTTTCTTTATTAATGCTGACCTTGAAGCGTCCTGCAGTCCATCACGTCCACATGAGCATCCAAATCTTCTGCAGCTTTTCTGCAAAGGGCTTGGGAGAGAGCACTTTTGCCACTGCCCTGAAAGAAAAACAAACATGACAATAGAGAACAGGGGTCGGCAAACCACGGCTAGTCATCCATCTGCTGCAGCTCCATGTGGAATTACTTGGAATATAATACTGAATACCTAAAATAGATTTGTTTTATTAAGATAAGATAAGACTTCATTCATCCCACACTGTTACAGTAGCAGGATAGACACAGTATTTACAAAGTGAGATAAAAATATCAAAGTGACCATTTACAGCAAGGAATAAAGTGACTAAAGTTATAGTGCACGTAGAACAAAATAAAAATACAAACAAAAATTCAATAACCAAATACCTTAGCCCCAGTGATGAGTAACGCTCCTCCTCCAAGACCCTGCCCTTTGGTACCAAGCTGTTGTGAGAGAAGACTACCAAGAAGGCTGTGGGAGATGAACTCAAACCCAGTCGTGCTGAGGTCGTCAATCCCTCTGGAGAAGGTCAGACATGGAGAAAAAAAATCAGGATTTAAAAGTGAAGCAGAAAAAAATTGTGTAAAAAAATTAGAAGAGACTCACCCAAGAATACTGAGGGACGGAAACTCTGGTTTGGACGTCTCTGCAACTTCCACAGATGACACAGGGACAGACAGTCTGTGGACCTAACAGTGACAACAGTGGTGTAGTCCAATGACAGGACAGACATGTATATTCAGTTTGTTTTTCCTCTCTACCTCAGTCATTATATTTTGTTTGTACTGGTTTATGTGATTACTACTACAACTTCTTCTTTTTCTTTCAGCTTTGTCCTTTTTTTTCCGGGGTTGCCACAGCAAATCATTGATTTCCATCTCTCCCTGTTCTCTGCATCTTCTTCTCTGACTCCAGCTATCTGCATGTCCTCCCTCACTGCATCCATATATCTCCTCTTTGGCCTTCCTCTCTTTCTCCTACCTGGTAGCTCCATCACTGTTTACCACAGCCACTTCCATTCTCTTTGCAAAATCTACCACTGCCTGTCCTTCTAAGTTTCTCTCCCTAACACCAAACCTACCTATCACTTCCTCATCTCCTTTGTTCCCTTCCCCTACATGACCATTTAGGTCTGCTCCAATCACCACTCTCTCTCTCCTGGGGATACTCTCTATCATCCAATTTAGCTCCTTCCAGAACTTCTCATTTTCTTCCAACTCACAGCCTACCTGTGGGGCATAACCACTAACAACATTTATCATCACTCCCTCTATTTCTACCTTCACACACATCAACCTGTCTGACTCTCGTTTCTCCTCCACCACATTTCTTACATGTTCTTCCTTTAGGATCAACCCTACTCCATTTCTCTTCCCATCTGAACCATGATAAAACAGTTTGTAGCCTCCTCCAATGTTTCTAGCCTCACTGCCCTTCCACCTGGTCTCCTGCACACACAAAATATCTACTCTTCTTCTCTCCATCACATCAGCTATTTCTCTACTTTTCCCTGTCATTGTACCTACATTGATTACTACTACAACTACTACATAAATAAGTACTGAAATACAACAAATGCTGATTCCTACCTGTACGTCTTCCTTCCGTATCAGAGAGTGTGCCAGTAAGAAAAGCTGGTCTGGAGGATCATTCTCTGGTTTTGGTTTCAGCACGGTTAAAGTGAACTCCAACTTTGCTACAGACAGGAAAGAGAGAAGGTAATGATATAGTGATGTCATTCAAACATCAATAATTCATAAAGACTTTGTTTTATTTTTTATTTTTTTAAACCTTCCTACAAATTCCAGAACTGTTTCTGGCCTACAGAGCCTGTCCTTCAGAAGGACTGTTGAGGTGACTCACCATCGGTTCCATGGAGGAGGAGATTTCCAGAGCGTGGAGTCAGACAGGACAAAGGTTCATGGCTCTGAGTGTGCAACCAACCGAGGAAGGCTGTCTGGATCTCTTCATCGTCTTCCTCCGACTGAAGTGAGAATGGGAGGGAGTAGAGAATATAATCTGAACAGAGGATATCTGATGTGTGCTTACGCACAAAATGTCACCTGTATTAAACTTATATCAGACGTTGATGTTGTACATACGTTTCGTTTCCTCTGTTTTTGTTTTTCAATTAGACGTAAGGCTGGGTATTACAACTAATTTCCTACATTTTAATTTAAAACATTCTGAATGACTCAATGCAACCCAGATGTTAAGTAATTCTATGAAATACTATTGAAAACCTGATAACATGTATATTCTTATCTGTATGAACCACTGTATGAGTTACTGCCACCGCCTGGACTGTAGGCTTGTTATCATTCAAGCATTACAGCAGTGGTACACTTACACCCAACATAATAATAACATAATAAATAAGACACTGCTGGGTTCTCACTGACCTGTGGTGTTAACGGTTGTAGACAGATCGTTGTCGCCACTTTGATATCTGATGTTACTGGCTTAATTCTAACCATGGAATGTGGGATAATATTCAGCCTGGCAGTGAGGGGCTGTGGGATCTTAAAAGAAAAATAAATGATCTAAAATTAGTCATTAAAAGCATACAATTTTGCAGCAAAATATTATGAAATATAAATTCTTCATTATTACATTGCTTGAAGGCAAACTTACCCAAACTTTCCCATCACAGATCTCCACTTTGCTGTGAGGTCTTTGTTTTCCTGTAAATCTGTCGTTCCAATGACACACCACCTTGACGACCATGACCTCGGCTTCTTTCGTAGTTTCTCCTCCATTTACAGAGTTTTCACTTTGAGCCACCTCTGTGTTCTTCTTTTTCTCTGCGACCTGCTTGGCCTTGTCTCTGGTTTGTTTAGGGGAAGGAACTTTGGAGAGCAGACCATAGGTGACAGGAGGTGGACCTCCAGCTACCTCAGAATTCAGCTCATGTCTCCAGGGAAACACATGAACTACATCAGTCACAGTGTGGCTCATGGTGCACAGAGAGTGAGGAGGTGTTCCACATACTCTGTAGACAGAGTCACCGAGGAGGTCAGGAATATTAGGCACTGGTGGGAGCTCTTTAACTGAGTCATGACCACCTTTTATGATGTAGTGAAGGAAGCTGCTCAGGTCAGATATGCCCCCCCTCTGCAGCTTCTGAGGAACATGAGCAGCATTTCCTAATGTCTTCCCTGAAGAAAGGTCAGTTCTCGTCTGTCTTGGAAAATCTTGTGTCTCACTACCTCTTGCTGCTAAACCGCCGATGTTGTCAACTCCAGCACGGCTTTTTGGAGAAACAACAAGTTCTGTAAACTGCTCCAGATGACCGTAGGGCACAGGGGGTGAAAGGGATGCTGTACAGATTATAACATTAATCAAAACTCTGGTTGAAAAACATTTTGGGATTTCAATAATATTATTCATTTACAAACTATATAAAGTATTATTTAGCAAAAAACTCTGACCTATTTGTATGTAGATGACTGTGTGGTCATCCACCCATACAGGACAGATGGCATCCTGGAACACAACTCTTATCTGATTTAACAGCTGCTGCTCCAGTGAAAGACTGTGAAGCTCCTGGATGTTAAAAAAACATAGACAATGCTAAGTCTGTTGATACCTGTATGTAATAATAAAAAGGCTGCAGTATAAAAACATTAGGCCAGACATTAGGTCAGTACCAGGATTTCCCAGTCATCAAAAGACAGAGGCTCCACAAACACTTGATGCAAGGACGACATCTGGTGGCATGTTCTAAGAAAGCACTGTAGAAAAAAGAAAGAAAGAAAATACCACAGCCTGTCAGTCACTGGTCCAGGCACGGGCAAACTACGGCCCGCGGAAAATATACGGCCTATTGGGCTTTTTAATCCCGCCCGCCGAACTCGTCCACGTTATATTATTACATTAAATTTTATTATAAAACACCTTAATCATTTTACCTAGCTGTATATCCCATCTTTCCCCCGCAGAGGGCGCCAAAGATATTGACCATTGAGTGTGATGCATTACGGTGATGCATTACTTCATTAAAATGAGCGGAACGAAGAAAAGAAAAGTAGACAGTGAGTGCCGAGTCTTTAATAAAGAGTGGAGAACGAAATATTTTTTCACTGTCCGATCAACAGCTGTATGTCTGATATGCCAAGAAACTATTGCAGTATTTAAATAATATAATATCAGCTGTCATTTTGCCACAAAACATGCAAACTACGCTAGTAACTGTGATTCAAGAGGCAAGTACTAAGGCAAGTTTATTGCTGGCATTCAAATTAGCAAAGGCCAGTAAGACTTTCTCTGATGGTGAATTTTTAAAAGAATGCATGGTTGAGACAGCAGGTCTCTTGTGTCCTGAGAGCTAAAGCAAATTTGAAAAAATCAGTTTATCACGCAGAACTGTGACTCGCCGTGTGGAATTGATTGACGAAGATATAGCCAGCAAATTAAACAAAAAGGCAGAATTCTTTAAGTTTTATTCTCTAGTACTGGATGAAAGTGATGACATAAAAGACACTGTTCAGCTCCTAATTTTTATCAGAGGGATTAGTGACAGTTTTGAGATCCTTCTTCTTTTTCTTTCGGCTTTGTCCCTTTTTTTTCAGGGGTTGCCACAGCAAATCATTGATTTCCATCTCTCCCTGTTCTCTGCATTTTCTACTCTGACTCCAACTATCTGCATGTCCTCCCTCACTGCATCCATATATCTCCTCTTTGGCCTTCCTCTCTTTCTCCTACCTGGTAGCTCCATCTCTAACATTCTTCTATCAATGTATCCACTGTCCCTCCTCTGCACATGTCCAAACCATCTCAATCTGGCTTCTCTAGCTTTTTCTCCAAACCTTCCTGTCTGTGTTGTCCCTCTGATGATCTCATTCCTGATCCTGTCCATTCTTGTCACTCCTAAAGAGAATCTTAGCATCTTTAACTCTGTCACCTCCAGCTCCACCTCCAGCTCCACCTCCTGTCTTCTGCCTATTGCTACCGTCTCTAAACCATACATCATGGCTGGTCTCACCACCGTCCTGTAAACCTTTCCCTTCACCTTAGCTGACACTCTTCTGTCACAGATCACTCCTGACACTTTTCTCCAGCTGTTCCATCCTGCCTGTTCTCTATTCTTCACCTCTCTTCCACAGTCTCCGCTGCTCTGAACAGTTGATCCTCACTACCTAAACTCCTGCACCTTCACCACCTCTGCTCCTTGTAGCCTCACTATTTCACACATGTACACATGTACTTTGTCTTGCTACGACTGACCTTCATTCCTCTTCTTTCTACTGCAAACCTCCACCTCCCTAGGTTCTCTTCTAGCTGCTGCCTACTCTCACTACAGATCACAATGTCATCTGCAAACAACATAGTCCATGGGGACTCCTGTCTGACCTCATCTGTCAATCTGTCCATCACCACAGCAAACAAGAAGGGGCTCAGGGCCGATCCTTGATGTAGTCCCACCTCCACTTTGAAGTCTTCTGTCCTCCCAACAGTACTGCTGATTTGCAGACCCAGCAAAACCTTTTTCACGGACAAACTGTGATTCAAGAGGCAAGTAAGGCACGTTTTTTGCTGGCATTCAAATTAGTAAAGTCCAGTAAGACTTTTTCTGAAGAATCCATGGTTGAGACAGCAGGTCTCTTGTGTCCTTAGAGCAAAGGCAAATTTGAAAAAAAATCAGTTTATCACGCAGAACTCTGACTCACCGTGTGGAATTGATTGAGGAAGATATAGCCAGCAAATTAAACAAAAAGGCAGAGTTCTCTAAGTTTTATTCTCTAGCACTGGATGAAAGTGATGACATAAAAGACACTGCTCAGCTCCTAATTTTTATCAGAGGTATTAGCGACAGTTTTGAGATCACAGAGGAATTTTTGACCATGTAGTCCATGAGAGGAAAAAGGGGACTTGTATAATCAAGTGTCTGCTGTCATTGAGAGAATGAAGCTACCTTGGAGTAAACTTGAACTCATGAACATCAACAAAACCTGTCACAGATCCAAGTTAACTGACCAACACCTCGGATCTATCCTGAGAATTGCCACAACAAATATAACACCAGACTTGCAAAAAAAGGAGACCAACAACACTGTTCACACTGAAACTGAATGTTAGTTTATCACTGCGTTATTAAATTAATAAATTTGGGGGAAAAAATTTACAATAAACTCTTCACATTGGTGTTTCGCTTCCTGTTTTTACATTTCATTTATATTAGTCCACACAAACACACCATTCTCCTATTCTGGCCCGGCCCCCCTGACAAATTTTAGAAACCATTGTAGCCCGCGAGTCAAAAAGTTTGCCCACCCCTGCACTAGTCCTTGCCAACAAATTGTTACTTTAAACTTATAAATATTTTAAATTAAGCTGACATACAGTAATTAAATCCTCACTCTAGAAGCATACCTGTTCTACACCTTTTAAACCCAATAAATTATTATTTTAACATTTTTAAATATTTAAAATTATGCTGACATACAGTAACTAAATCCTCACTCTAAAAGCATACCTGTTCTCCATCTTTTAAACCCAGTTTTCCTCCCAGATGCCGACTCAGCTCCACCTCTTGGCCGTCGCAGCGAGAAGAACTTCTTTTTAGAGTCCAGCTCAGGTACAGTGGAGACCCATGGCCCAAGGACAACTCCAACGCTTGGTTCTGATATACAAAAAGCATTCCACAACTTTAGGATTGTGTGTTCATAATGCTGTTATAAATGTAAGCAATATTAAAACCACCTTTAAATAAACTGAGGTCATAATGTGTAACACATCGTTATTAACTTTTGCTTTTTTGTGCAACAACAAGTGTCTATCAGCATCGTTCACGTATGTCAGTTGAGACATACTTTACATGAAGTAAATATTGACTGACACTCGGCTAAGGAACTTAAAAGCTAGCAAAAATAACGAAAAACTCACCTCGTGCAGACAAAGGTGTGCCACCAGCTTCGGTGGAAGGTGAAGAAAGCAGTTCTTACAGTTACTAAAAACAACCGTAACAGGTTGAATGCCCTGGTTATTAATCATGACTCTTTACATTGTCTGGGTACTGCACATCTGCCATGTAATTGCTATCTAATCGATGTGTTTGAAATCGCTTACACAGACCAGAGTAGTCGATGACGATGGACACACTCCTTTCAAAATATTACACAGAGAGAGCAAGGATACATGAGAACACGAGAACATCAAAACGAACGGGCTCTTATTCTGAAAAGCTCCTTAGCGGAAATAATTTGAAGAAACATGGCGCTCCCTAGTAATAACAAAATGAGCTGTTGGGCTGCCCCAGGAGTTTATAAACACCACGAACAAAGGAAAGTGTGTATATCGAGACCAAAATATAGGGATGGGAGGAAAGACAAAGCGGTGAAGGTAAGGTTAGCATATCTGATATACAGTATGTCAACGTCAAAATACACTACGGTACAAGTGCAACGCTGAAAAGGAAAACGTCTATTGAAACTATTCAGGGAAAAATGAACATTAAAAAAAAGTGTTGCTGTGTTCGTAGGTTTTAAACTCGTTTGTGATTGTTCGTCTTCAGGTGTACACTATTAATCTAGAGTCTCGTTACGTGATGGTGCAAGGAGTCCCAGCCATTGGAGTGATGACAGAACTGGTCCAGCTCTGTGCCTTGTATGGAGTGGTGGAGGAGTACAGACCACTGGATGAGTACCCTGCTGAAGAATTTACTGAGGTCTACCTCATCAAGTTCCAGAAACTAACCAGTGCCAGGTTCGGGATCTTGTTTAACCTTATTTATAAAGAGCAACTACTAGAGTAACTATTAAAATCTGCCCCAAAAATCTCAAAACAGTCAGCAACAAGTCTGAGGCCAAGTCTACAACATATTATTGATAATCAAAGACAAAACAAACACATTGACAGACATTGTCTGACCTAAAAAGAGAGATATTATGATTGGATCACACATGCTCTCAAAGGTTCAGTCCAGTTTGTTGTTCTTATTTAACGCTGCCATCTTTAGTTTAATTTTATTGCTTTAAAATGTATTTTTCAGAGCAGCTAAACGCAATATGGATGAAAAAAGTTTTTACGGTGGGGTTCTTCATATGTGCTACGTACCAGAGTATGAAAGTGTAGAAGACACAAGGTTGAAACTGCTGGACCGAAGGAGATATATTATGAGGGCTGCCCAGAATAAAGGTACAGTTGCAACAAATTAATTTCCTTTCTAAAGACAATAACGTTCGAATTAATGGTTTGTTTTACTTGCTTATACAAAACATGAAAAAAAGTTCTGTTTTTCTTTTTCTTTAAAAGCAAGAGAAAGAAAAACAAAGGAGGATGGAGAGGAGAAGCCAACGACCTCAAACACAGACAGACAATCAAACATGACTCTGTCCCAAAGTCATGAAATGCCAAGGAATGATAATAACACAGGAGGGAATTCTAATTTCAATTATTATTCAGACTTTACTTTGCTGCCACTTCCTCCACAGGAACAACATTATCACATGGGACAACAAGGGACTGAACTCAGAGAAGATAAGATGGGGACATTACATAATGCAGTAAGCAACACAAATCAGCAGTCTGAATATAACAGTGTCAGTCAAACATCATCAGAGAACATACAGAAAAACCGACAACAAAGACCGACTCAGAATCAGACCCCAATGGTCAGATTTGTCCCGAGGACCACACAACTGGAGAAGAGGAAACATCGAAAGGAAGAGGCTGCAGGTCAGACCCTGACTGATTTATCTGAAGTAAATGAGACTCTGATTGGGCCAAAGCTACCGGAGCCACCTAAAATTGACATGGAGGATGAGTCAATGAACACGACTGTCTGCCTTATTAGGAACACAATGAAACGGGTAAGCAGTTATCAAATTTTCCTGTGGCAATTTAGAGCAACACTGAGTCATCAAGTCTCTTCTGTCAGTATAAACACTGATTCATTTCTGTTAGGTTGGATCAGTTCCTGACGTCAAGCCGGTGGAGAAAAAGATGAAACCACGTCGTCGGATATAATCAATTTGTTGTTTGTGCATCAACTTAATTAACAATTTTTACTGTACTTTAAGGTGAAACTGTGTAAAAATAAATGAGAATGATTCTGTTACAGTTCTGCAGGTTCTTGAAATACACGTAGCTCAAATGCATCGGCGCTCTGAAATCAAAGGGGATGGCGGATTAAATACTCCTTCTTCTTGTATTTTAAGTAAAACAGGATGTCACTGCATTCCAAACAAGTTCTTAATTTCTTACCATTATATCTGGGAGGCAAGTTCCAAAAGCTTCAAGTAACAAATTCTCATCCTTCACTGCCTTTTCAAAGTCAGCAAAAGACAACCTGCCATCGTGGTCGTGGTCCTGAGGAAGGGAAGGAGAAAGATGTTTGTACAAAAAATAGTAGTAATAATAGTACTATTTTTTTATTTACCGAATAAATGGCTGTTGTAAAAATCTACAGTTGCATTTTTTTCTCTTCCTGCTCATGTGAAGTTAAATTTTTCAAATGTCTGTTGAAGTTGTGTACAGTAGATCGGAGCTGTTAGTATCCCCTCACCATTCTCTTCAGTGTGATTTCAACCAGATCTTTAATCCCCTCGTCTGGGTCCTCCTCAGTGGGCTGCCTGATCAGACTGTTCTTCAGCATGTGAAACATTTCCTCCCTGGAGATGTAGTGGTCACCGTTCAAGTCGTACACCTGAAAACAGTCTGTGTCACACAGGCAGAGAGCAGTCATTGTTGAGACAGTAACTTGTCGTTCAGATTTAAGATTGTAAACGTTGACTTACATTTTATTTTTTCCTCCAAAGTCCCTCGGAGGAAAATGGACAAACCTTCAATCCATTCCTTGACACTGACAAAGCTGTCGTTGTCTTTATCAAATGTCCTGAAAACTGCGGGACAGATAATATGTAATATATACTGAACTCAAAGGTACTTGAACGTGTGAAATATTTTAACAGTGATTCCTTTAACGACCATTGGTGAACTTAAGGGAAAATAAAATGAAAATATACTTTAAATTTAGCCACAGGGAAATGTTTTATACATTTGTAAAGAATAATACATTTTACAGTCAAATATTCCATCATGGCTTTCTGAATGTCTGCCTTAAGTTTCATGGCACATGGCTGAGATACAAATTTGAACTCTTTTGAACAACAAAAATAATTAAGGTTTTTAAACAATTTTTTTGTTGAGTTTGATTTCTTTGTTGACATTGTTAAAATTAAATTCAAAAGCCAAATGTCAAAAAAGAAGTCTGCACTTACCCAGGTCCATGATCATGTCATCTGTAAGCCCAAAGTTATTGTGGAGGATGCTCCTGAAGCGTTCTTTGTCCAGGCCTGAGACTGTTCTCCCGGTGCTCACAGGTTCACCCAGGAGAAGATTAAACTCTCGGATCAGACACTCCACCTCAGTTTTACTGACTGTAGAAAAACAGATGGCATTTGTTCTGTCTCACTGAGAAGTCATAGGATATACTGCACCTTCACAATTACCAGACAACATACAGTCCAAGTATCCAGAGCACACGTGTTTACATGCTTTCTATTGTAGAACATCTTAATTCAGAACTAGCTGCACAACATTGGGGAAATATTCAGCAAAAACAGCAGAATTGATCAACATTGATCACAAATAAATAAATCGTGACATTCCAATACTGAAAAGAAATTCAAAATAAACTGAATAGATGATTATAAGTATTGCAAAGGGCATAGAAATGAACACAAACACATTGATTAAAAAAAGAAGAAGCCTAAATTAAAAATAAGTTATTAAAGGGTTAGCTAAATCAAAAATGTTGAAGTACACAGCTTCTCTGAGTGGTTGTAACCAACAAACAGTGTGCTGTGACATTAGAGAAACATACATTGTACATTCTGCAGGTTGTCTTCATAAACAGAAGTCCCTACTCACAATGATCCACTTGTTTGGAGATCGATTCCGCCAGAGTGTGAATGATTTTCCTATTCATGGAAGACATTTCTGACTTAATTAGAAAAAAAAAAAAACAAACAATGTGCGACTCAATCGACCTCCACTCCACAGGCGACGTAAACACGCCGTTGCCATGACAACTACTCGCGTTAAATAAGGACATATCCCTCTTATTATAAGCCATTTACCTTAGT